TATAATCAATGTTTTTCCATGTGAGTATTTTAAACTAGTGCTTCATATCTTATATTCAGATCAATCAAATTAATTGTGTTTAATGAAATTTTTTAGTTAACTACACTAACTTTCGAAATTAACTGATTTATCCAATATTGTACAAATATAATTATCTGATAAAAGTGAGCAAATGCAGGTATTGAAACTAAAGAGTCGTTTCTCTATAATTGTTTTCTCAAACTTTTGCAAATTCTTCAATCACTGTGGTTTGACCTCGGACTTACTGAGTATTTACTACTTTTTGACCATCTACACTTTGGTGCATCTTTTGATGCCAAACAAGGTTTTGGCATCATTGCCGATGATTAAAGGCAATTTCAAGAAGAAAATGAGGAATCTACCTTCATTAAATGAGCTACATGGAGATATCTTTTTCCGAGTAAGCTCGTTCAATCTCTGTAATTATCTATATTCTTTGTATTGCAATTTTAACTTCTATTTTAGGATATATTTTCACAAATTTTTCATAAGCATTGCATGTCAAGTGATGGATCCATCAATTTCAATCAAACTCAATCACCGTTCAAAGAGTCAGTAGGGTCCATTAGTCCATTGAGTCATTCGAGTCCATTAAGTAGCAATTCATTCACCTTCCCCACGTTTGATCTGAGTAGAGTTGGTCGTCTAATGGGTGACCAGGAGGAAGAGGTTAGTGTTCAGTAGAGCAGAACCTTGAGGGATTACTTGCAGCTCTTTTACAATAATGCTCCATCATGCTTGGTATTTCTGCGAATGCCCAAAATTTCAATGCTAAACCAAGGGTGAAGGACATGATATATTACATATAACTCAAATTCTAAATGATTAAACATCAAAGCTAAGGGCTAAGAGTGCATCACAATAAGAAAAGTAAACAATAAGGAAAAGTCAACAAGGAAAAATAATAGAGTACTTAAGTGCAAGACCATGAATGAATGAAATAACTCCCATAAGCACCTATATGGTCCCATACTAAATCTCCTAAGTGGCTCCTGTGGCCTTGTCATCTCCATCATCACGATCACTGTCACGATCTTCACCATATCGACGCTGGGGCAAGGTCGAATGTCATCTAACATTGGAGCACCTTTAACATGCTTTCCCTTCTGCAATCGCCTAAGCCTCTCAACTCAACATGTAATTGATCTCATTGCAAACTGTTAAGTCTCTTCCAAGCTCACTATCCTATTACCCAAGGCATCTAACCCCTGTGAAGTAAGGTGATTGTGACGCTCCTAAAACCGGGGATCCTTTGTCAACTTGTTGATCACCCATCAACTCGTGAAAATACTCTTGAATTCCGCATAACCCGACATCACGGTACAACATCCCCTTTACCGGGATCACAAGCAACACAGAGTTTGGATATAGTCTCCCTTGTACCGGGCACTCCCAAATACATAACCGGTGTACCATTCAATCAAATGACCCTTCCAAGGTCCAATATACCTCAATTCATACTCAATTATTTTTCATTTACATCATTTGAATAAAAGGACTCAAGACCCAAAGGCTTAGCAAAAGCATTTCAAAATTTGAGATTTAACAAAACTTAATGGTAGAAGATGTACAAGTTCTATTGGTAGAAAAAAGCTATTTTCAAAGTTCTGCCGGTAGGAATGTCAAATTTCTACCGGTAAGAAAACTCACTAGAATTGTTCTTCCGCAAAACTTGACATTCTACCGATAGGAAATGCCTACTGGAAAAGTTCTACTGGTGGAAGAGCTCATCGTTCATCCGGTAGGTCTTCCTAGTTTTTTCCCGATTCCATCATTTTTTAATTCCAATCCATTCTAACTTTATACAACATCAACCCAAATTTATATAACATCCATTTTAAATAAAATCCAGTTCATATGATCGATTACAATCCTTTACATAACATATACATGTCCCAAAAACTAGATTACATCTTAATTTTACAGAAACATAGTTTAAAAGCCACATTTTGACTTTTTTTTCATCAATGGGGGCCATGTGAGAGTCATCCACCAGTGCATGCCCCGCACTTGAAATATTGTCCCCAAAAAGGGTGAGCCACATTCAATAAGATATCTCCTAAAGAGGCTACTCTCCAACCTAGATGCATATGAAATATTCACATGCAATTCACACACAATAATCACTCAATTCAAGAATATACAATTCAACAATTGAACCCTCTATGCCATGCCATGATATGAAATGAGACTCATATATGCAACTCAACCCGAGCCTTTACCGGTTCCCTCAACACATGCAATGTCATGCGTATGAATCCGGACATTCTAAGCCCCACCATTGATGTTGAACATCCAATAACCATTATAAATCCTGGGTCTTTCTGAGGTGGGTATTTATAGACTCACACCAACAGGTACCCAACCAACACGACATTAATGGACTTCCACCAATGGCTCCGCGTATGGCAGTAGCTTTCAACATCTGCAACACAATATGATGAGTAGTGCCTGTTCAAAATTAATAGTAGCATTCTTGGTCCTTTGGCTGTAGCAGTAATTCATGTAATTCTTCTAATGTTAGTATTTTTAACATGCGTGCTGTGTTTGTGCTTTTTGACAAACTTTGAAGCGATTAGATCTAGTAATGCAGATACATTTTGCCAGAAAATAATTCACCAAGATAACAAAGACTCACTTAGCAACTTCTCTGGTGTGACGTATACGAGCTTGTATTTACAATATTCCGAACTAAGCTCTCTAAGAATCTCCTGTTGCTCACTCCACTCCATATTGGCACTTAAATATGTAGCAGGTATGTTCACCTACAATGTAATTATAGTGTGTTTGTGAGAAAGAGAGAGAGAGACCACAATTAAAAATAAGGCGTGTTAAATTCCAAATGAAAGTAAGGTTTACCTGCAATAGATGCATTATTTGATCCTGGATAAGTGACACGAGAGGCGAAATTACCAAAGTTATCCCTGGACATATAAGAGCAGGTAGCTGCAATAAAACATCATTTAGAACATGTCCGAGTCCATTATAAAGGTTATTACACAGCTCCAATTTGCAATACAAGTAGCAAAACTCTAAAATGTGCCATACATGAAAAATGATCACATGACAACCAATTGCTCCACTCCTATTTCAGACAGAGAAACTATTTTCCAATTAAATACAAACTTAAATAGGAATACAAGCAAAAATAGAAAAAAAAAAACATAAAACAATTGAAACATGAGATTAGTATGATATGGTTTTCAAAGAAGTTGGGATGGGTGGGGCTATTCCCACCCTATTTAATTTCTCCTTATCAATCTACTAAATTCACCCCTTTTATGCTCACCACATTAGTAACTAAGCCCACCATATGCTACTTACACCCATTAATAGTTAAACTCAATCATTTTATGTACACCCCTTTAATGAAAAAAATCATTGTAAGAAAAAAATAATGAAAGAAACAATTAGTTTGAATGCATAAATATATTTATGAAATAAGAAAAAAAAAAAAAACCAACAAAACTGAAACAAGAAAAAATTAACAACCAAAACGAAACAAGAAAAAAAAAACTAAGTAAGTTGAAACAAGAAAAAAAAGGAAAAAAAGCAGACCAAAATAAGAAAAAAAACGGATTAAACAAGGAAAAATAGAAAGAAATAAGTAAATCGAAACAAGAAAGAAAAAAATTAAGCAAAAATTAAAGGAACAAGTAAAACTATAAGAAGCAAAACCGAATATAAAAAAAAATAAACATCAAGCACAAACACAAAATTGAACAAAAAAAAATAACTAGCATAAATGCAAAACCTTAACAAGATTAAAAAAAAACAAATAATCTAAAACATACAATTATATACACAAATATAAATTCTAAATAAAAAATTATTAAACTTGACAGAGATATCAAAACATGTAAAAAATAATAAAAATCCATAGAACAAACATGAAATAAAACATATAATTAAATTGAGAAGTAATACTAATCTTGATCTCACTAAAAAAATTCATATTGAAAAAGTGTTTTTGTGAGTGCATGACATGAGATAGAGAATGAAAACCTAATTATAAAAAAATATGAAGTTAGTTTACTTAAAAAAGGGTGTTTATAGCATGAGGTAGACTTAGTGACAATGGGGTGGATATAGAGAGGGTGGACTTAGTAATTTGATAATAAGAAATTAAACAGAATGGGAATAGAAATTTGTAGGAGTGGGAATAGCCCCACCCAGTTGGGATTAATCAGATGCAATCGTATCAGATTCTAGATCGATAGTATGACAAGAACTAGCACCTTAACTGGTGAGGATTCTTTACCTGATATGTCAAGCTTTTTCCTCCTCCAGTCGGCATTAAAACAAAAACGTCATATCCACTCATAGTTGCATTAATCACCTCTCTTTGGTTGGGGCGAAAGAAGTGATTTCCAAACACTTTCTTGTTATTATTCTGAGAACAGAACCAATGCACTACAATCAAAACAACATTCATCGAGTACCTAGTATCTAACAACGGCACAGATTAACCACCAAGTGAGGTGGTGCAGTGGGATACCAATCAAACTTCCCTGGTTCGAGTCTTGGAGTCCACATTCATTTCAAGTGCACTCAGGACATCACAGGTGGTCCCTAGCTGCTCTCAGCCCCCAACCTCTTTTTCTACCAGCAAAAAAAAAAAAAAAAAAAAATGATGACACAGATTCATACCTCCAGCTTCTTTGTCCAATGGAAATCCCGACTACTCCATTTTTGGTCATTCGAACCTTCAATATAATTCACTTCAACATACTTTGGCACATATGGTTCCCTCTCAACAGGAGCCAATGAAAAACCAATCTTATCTGCAGAAGAGAACGAAACTGATGACGAATTCCATCTATTAAAGCCCTCTGGCTCATTGCTTATGTCAAACTGGCCATCAAGTCTCATGGGATTAATCCCAGATGAAACCGTTGGAGGGGTTTCATATTGAAAAGCCCTACAAGTGGTTGTGGTTGAAGAAAAATGTGATGTTTGTCTTTCCTCATTGACTGGTATGGTATGAAGATATTTCTCAAGCAGTTGAACTTGCTTTTTCAGCTGCGACCTAACAGTAAACAAGCGAACAAACATAAGTGAAAAACAGTGAATCCTCTACATAAAACTGGAAAGAAGAAGATGCACAGAACACAGTAACTACAAGAGAAGAAATGAAGAGAAAGGAGAAGCAGTATCATCATTTTATAGTGGGTTAATTACAAAATGCCCTCTCCAAGTGTAGGTCATGCTTTAATCAGCTCCTCGGAGTTTTAATTTTGACAATTTCCCTCTTTCAAGTTTTCTTAGTATTAAATTAATTGACTGAGTTGGTGAAAAATATAAAGTTCTCAAAATGCCCGCAACATCTAATTATATTTTCTATACTCTTTGTACTCAACCCCATCCCAACTTTCGACAAATCAACCCAACACA